GTCCTACCTTCATAATTTACTACAAGTCCGCCCGAATCTACACTCAAAAAAGTAGATTTATCATCGAAATTCCAAGCGGTTGGTAAATCCATGAACTGTGTTAAGGGTAGAGTGAACTATTTTGAATTTAATATAAATTAATGGATAAATTTTTTATCTCTTATTTCAAAAATCTTTATTATGAAACCTTATTATTATTATTTTTTTTTTCCGTTTAAAGAGGGAGCTCTATGTCACCAGCATTTTTATTTATTTAAGACTTACAACCTATTTTACATAGGAGGGTATTACATTTTATATTTATGCGAGGCCACAACTAGCCACACGTACAGTACCCAACAAAAGTAACGCCCGATGATCAATTTTATAATAAATTATATATAAGGCCATGCAAAGTTAATTTTTCGTTTTACATTACCCGCCAACCAAAATTTTACAAAAACTTAAAAAATTTTTTTTTTTTTTTTATAATAATAATTTGTTTTAAAATGAGAATAATAATATTTATTTTAATGATTTTAGTGAATCTGAGTCAAAAATCATCATTTGTCCAATCCAAATATAAAGACATAAGAATTGTTTAAGCGTAAATCAGCAATATGATTATAAACTATTAACTACCATAATATTCAATATATTTAATTATAAAACAAGTGGATTTATCATAAATGGGTTATTTTAAAGGTTAGTTATTAAACTATCTATAAAATAACAATATAGTTAATATTTAATATAATTATAGTTTGATCTAAATATTTGAACTAACCTTTTTTGTTTTTTATTTTTTTTTATTTTGTAAATACGTGCTGTAAATTTTAAAGATTTGCCACGAGTTGGTGTTTTGACACCTTTTTGTGTACATTCTGTATATAATTGGTATTGGGTAGCTGGAATTGGAGTAACAATATCAGTATTATCACATTTAAAGCATAGTAATGAAAATATTTGAGCAGAATGATAAGCCTTTTCTATCAGGGAATTGCATGTTAGCCTATCATTTATAAATACTTTTTCAAATAATTCTTTAATCGTTGTTTTATCAGCATCCAAACTTGATAAGTTTTTGGCTTCAGAATTATAATTTCTCTCTTCATTATCTACTAATTGATTACTTTCATTATTATTCATAAATTCACTAAAGTCATTATTATTCTTTTTATTATTTGCCAGTTCTTCAATATCTTAATCATTATTTTCAGAATCATAATCACTCTCTTCATTATCTACTAATTCATTGCTTTCATTATTATTCGTAAATTCACTAAAGTTATTATCATTTTTTTCACTATTTGCTAGTTCTTCAATATCATAATTATCACTTTCTGTTAATTCATTATTAATATCAGCATTTTTATAAAATAGGTTTTCTCAAACTTCTGAATCTGAATATTGCAAGTTATTTGTTTTATTTTGGTTTAATAAATCTTCAGAATTATTTTTACTATGTTCACTATTACTTGATTTAATTTCACTACTAACACATTTTTTACTACTTTTTGATTTAGTAACTATTGATTCTGATTCACTTTCTATTTCAGAATTACCTTCTAATTCTAATTTATCATTAATTGATTGTGAAAAAATCTTATTTGGAATTCTGAACATATTTTCTGCATTATAAAAGGATGAGCCACAAGAATAATCAATTATATCCAAATATGTAATTAAGAGCTTTTTTTCTTTTTCATTTAATTTTTGTTTGGAATAAAACAATTGCCAATGTTCACATTCTAAACACATAATAGTTACATCAACATTTTTTGCTCTTTGTGCCATATCATTAAATAGCATACTATAAGATTTTTTGTGATTATTATTTGCAAGTGAGAGATGATAAATTTCAGTAGTATCTTGACTATATACATTATTTAAAGAAGCATAGTGATCATTATTTCCAGAATTGGATCTGGAAAATGATAAATTTGGTTGAAAATATCTTGTGAAAGTCTTATGGGCTTACAAATAGTACATTCTTCACTTCTACACTTTTTAATTGAAAAAATATAGTGGTGTGACTGGCAACAATACTCAAAAAATTCTTTAAATTTAGTCTAATAAAATAGAATAAATATATAATAATATAATTAAGAAATTTATTAGTGTATATGTAGTGTTTATGCATAGATACTAATTTATTAACTTACAAATAATATACAAATAAAAATTATCTACCTTATTTTTAACAGTTTTCCAGGTTTTATTAGTTTTTAATATAGTTTGATCTAACCTTAAAATAGTATCAAACAATTGATCAATATCTTCAGTTATTGCAGTATTTACTGTTGTAAACTGTTCATTTTTTAATTTATATAGATTTATTTGGAAGAAATGATTCAATATTTATTGACTCCCAATAATTACTTTTTTCAAGAAAGTTAATCAAAGTTTGATAACGATTAATAATATAAGATTTTTTAACTAAATTTGGCTATAAAATAGTAAGAAGGCTATTATTTTTGTTAACTGGTTCAAAGGAAAGATGATTTTGTATTGTTGTTATTAATTGTTTTTGCAAATTTTTCTGATATCAAGACAAATTCATAGCTAGTTTTTCTAATGAATTAAT